CGTGGTCACCACATTTTTAGACGCAACAACATGGCAGCCACACGGCCGGCCGCTACTACATGGTATCAGCTTAATCTCATTATTTACACTCCATTTTGTTCCATTGTGTTATTAAGGTAAAATGCTCCCGCGTGTAAGTTTGTAGTGTATATTACGGCGTTACAATCCGACATCAATACAACCAGCCCGGAAAGCACGGTAGTGATTACTAAACTGGTACGGGTAGCTCGTGTAAACTGCTGTGATGTATCCAATAACACTTAATCAGTCACTTTACCCAGTAGTAAGCAAGTACTTGCATTAACAACCGCTTAATATTGCTGTCGTTGGAATTCGCGAGCACTTGGGGCCAGCCACTGCGCTCGGTAATGGTAATAAGCTGCATGCAGTACGTTTGACGGTATGCCCCAATCTCTTGCAATATGGCGCTATAAGCTGCTGGCTAGTGGCAAAAGCCGCCAGCCATCATGCGTGTGGCTCCACAGGAAGCCGTGAAATGCGCAGCATTGGCGGGTCCAAATAGGATGCGATGATCATCTCGTGTTTTTCCGGATTGGTGATAATGCTAGCTGACATGTAAGTTGCTGCATTCCATCAAACACCCCTTTGCACACAGCGCATGCTTATAACAATTTTTTGATTCTATCTAGTGTCTACTGTTGAACAAGTGACCCAGAGTAGAACCACAGTCGTGCCATGACACGGATTGGTAGAGTGAGGCAACACCTATCAACACTTCGGCGCTTGTCTATGTGACATAAAATGAAGTTTGTGTAACTGGTGAGTTATATTTGAAGTACGCTTTATCATGCAATGCAGTTTCAGGAAGGGTCTTAATGTGATATTTTTTGCTCTGACTAGACTGCGGTTCACCAGCCTATGTTCAGTGAGTCTGATATAAGAGCTCGCTTGCAAAGAATGCGATGGTGCGTTAGCTATTTCATTTACATATGCACGAACATGATAGTTCACCTCAGAAATATAAATCGAATTTGTTCAGCATCAGAGTGGTATAGCCTGAACAACTTTCAGTAAATGAATAGAATACTATACGCAACACAGGAAATGTTATTTTGTGCAGAAGGCACTGAGTATTATGAATGATAAGATTGGATCTACAGCTGTCTGCATGACATACTCGAGTGAACATTACTCGTCTCACCTATTACGGGTACTACAAGTGAAGTATGCCATTTAGCAACGCGCATCAGACATGGACATGCGCTGAAACTTTTGTGATTGGGATCGAGGGACCTACGCTTCGTAGTGCACACAATGCAGAGGTGGTTAAATTAATTTTTTTTTCAATTTCGATCGAACTTTACCTTTTCTACATTTGCCCAAAAAGACTGAATGCTGAAATTCACAATTCAGCACACGATGATTACCCTGGACAAGTACAAACCACGACCATTATCATCATCATCATACACGTTAGCTGGAGGTGGGAAACACCTCAGCTACTGTGCCGCAATACATAGAAAAAGGAGAAAAAATGCAACTGGTGCAAGCCGGCTGAGCTACCGGTAACGGATGGGCATCGTTCCGGTAAGCTACCAGCCGGCTACTGTGCATAAAAAAATTACTATGCAAAATTATATAAGGCTAAATAGTGAGATCGTGGTTGGAGGGGGAGGCTAAGAGGGATGAGGTGGGACAAAAAAAACTCACAGCACTGAACGCCACTGAGGTCGGCTCCTAGCCATATCAGCAAGTGTATCCAGCCAAACGTGTTCATCGTCTTTCGGACCCCAACCAGGGAGCCGAGACGATCCAACTGAGGCCAGCTCAGAAGTGAGGGCCTTCATTCCTCTCGACCAAGTCATCGCTTGGCCGCCCCTCCTCTTCTTCCATCCACCTCCCCGGCGCGCAAACAACTCACGTCGCGGGAGTCGGTGGGCTGGCATGCGTAACACGTGGCCGAGCCATCGGAGCCTGGTGCGTGAAATAACGGTGCTGAGCGGTTCATTTCCTTTTCCTGTGCCGTAAACAAGGCGTCGAACACGCTCGTTGCTCAGGCGGTGTTCCCACCAGATGTGAGCTAAATTGCGAAGGCACCGGTGGTCGAACGTAACTAGCCTCTTTAGGTCCGCTGCTTTAAGCGGCCAGGTTTCACAACCGTACAGTAGGGTCGAACGTACCGCTGCATTGTACACTCTACCCTTCAGGCAAGAGTGATGTCGCGCCGGCGCCATAAGTGGCGAAGGTTAGCAAAAGCGCCCCGAGCTTTTGCTATACGGTTCGTGATCTCATCTTCAATCCCACGGACGCTGATACAACTTCCCAGGTAGTTGAATTTTTGAACGACTTCTAGCTGATCCCCACCAAGGGTCAGCGCAGGAGGCGGTCCAGGCCAATCTTGGAGGAACGCTTTGCACTTCGATGGTGCGAAGCAAAGCCGAAGTGACGGACAGCCAGTGCTAATCTGTCCAGTGCCGCTTGGCACATTTGTGAGCTGTCACAGATTAGGGCAATATCATCAGCATACTCTAAGTCAAGAAGTCGTTCTCCTGGGAGCAGATCCACACCTTCTAAGTCGTGTCCTGTAAACGCGATTTCCATGACTTCATCAATAGCGAAGTTGAAGAGGAAAGGTGACAGCGGGCATCCTTGTCTCACACCGCTGGAGATATTAAAGGGCGACGACAGCTGGCCGTAAGCCCTCACTCTGCCCGAGCTACGGCGCGTATAATGCTCGGATAATATTTACATATTTCTCAGGTACACCTTTCTGAGTAGACAGTCCCAAAGTGCAAGTCTATCCACCGAATCGAATGCACCTTTGATATCGAGGAACACGACAACGGTGGGCCGCCAATATATGTGACGGTGCTCCAACAACTGACGCAAGGTGAAGATGTGGTCAATGCAGCCACGACCTCGACGAAATCCGCTTGCTCTTCACGAATCTGGCTTTCACGAGTGCCAGTCAGTCTGTGAAGGATGACAGAGGCAAGCAATTTGGAGGCGATGGAGATCAGACTGATTCCTCTATGGCTGCCGCATTCCGATCGTGAGCCTCCCTTGAAAATTGGGACTATGACGGAGCGGCTCCAATCGGTTGGGACAGTTTCCTGCTCCCACAGTTTCACTAGTAACTCGTGTAAATCATCCACAAGAGCAGGTCCCCGAATTTGAAGAGGGCTGGAGGAAGATCATCTGGTCCCGCGGCTTTATTTAACTTCAACGGTTCAATCTCACGTTCGACTTCTGAGCGAGAGGGTGGATCCAAAGGGACAGCCCACGGAGCGAGGCGATCAGTGGCCGGCGAGAAATCTAACAATTCCGACCGATTAAATTGCCTTTCAAAGTGCTCAGCCCAAAGCCTTAAGCGTTTTGACAAGTTGTGGATAGGCTGTCCACTCTCGTCACGTATAGTTTCACTAACACCAGGTCTCCTGCTGCCCGTTTCCCGTATCAGACGGAATAACTTACGATGGTTACCAAGGGCAGCGGCCATTTCCATCTCTGATGCACGATGAGACCACCAGGATTCGCGGTCTCTCTTCAGGCTAGCACGGAGTTTTGCCCGGAGCTCTTTGCGAGTTTCATTGTGTTCGCTTCCAGCCGGAATATGCCGGCGAGCATCTATAAGTTCCAGAGACTGTGAAGAGACCCAATGTCCATGTTGGCGATTAGACATACCACATGAGGATTTTCCTGCTGCTAGTAAGGTCTGGTGAATATGAGACCAGTGACCTTCAATTGCATCCAGTGAGCGTTTATCCAACTCGCATGACAGCGTACTTTGATAGGCATTCAGAACAGCTGGCTTCGCCAGTTGGCTGGTGTCAATGCGCTCACAGCGTCGTCGTGGGCGTCCGCCAAAGCGCATCCGCAGGTCAGCACATACAAGTGCATGGTCGGTGTCTACACATGTGCTCCAAATCGAGCGACAGTTCTGGACGCAGCCTCTCCATCGGTAACTTATCGCAATGTGATCGATTTGCGTCCATAGCTGGTTCGAGGCTGGTGGGCGCCAAGTCACCCTCCGGCGGGTGCTGTGTCGGAAATTAGTGCTCGCAAGAAATAAGCGAGCATCCTCACACAAATGAAGTAACCGCTCACCGTTATCATTACGGGAGCCTACACCATGTTGGTCGCCCAGATGCAGCTCATCTGTGGATAATTTTCCAACTTGAGCGTTCAGATCCCCAGCCAGCACAACAGTGTCCGAGCTTCTTCTGTGGCGAAGGAGCTCGTTCAGTTGGCAGTAGAAGTCGTCTTTAACCGAATCATCGCTACAGTTCGTGGGTGCATGGACAGCGATGACGAATAGACACCTGTTAGTCCCGTGCGACTTCGAAGCTTTGAACGAGCCAGCCAATCGGACCGCACACATCGGGCTACTGATTGGAATCCAATCAACCAGAGCAGCTTCAGCCGGGGACCCAGGGCAATACCAAGACCGGCCTCGGCCGATGCTCGAGGCTGCATCCTCACCGGATAGGCGCAATGAGAAAGGTGCTGCTAGTGTCACCTGAAGGGGATCGCAGAGTGAGCACAGAGCTCGAGTCTTGCAGGCGGGTCTCCGATAAACAGCAGATATCGATCGAGAGGGTCTCTAATGTTAGGGCAAGTGCTGCCTGTTGACCGATCTGTAGCAATGTGGGTACATTGAGGCAAGCCAGTCTGAAGGAGGATCGAGGGCTCCAAATGGAAGCCGATGAACTGGAATGGGCCGCTTGCTTGGACATGAGCCTGTTGACAAGACAGGAATGAGGCTCTGCGTTCACCTGTGAGTTGAAACTAAAGGACAAGCGACTATTGAAGCAAGGTGCGGAAGGGCCGATAGTTGGGGGTGGAAAACAGGAGGGATAAAAGTGACGTTGGAACGGGACGATAAGGATGAAAAGGCGCAAGAGGGGAATAAGAAGACGGGAAGGCTTAAGTAGTAGCATCCAAACCCTATCCACCCTGCTCGATGCAGCATATAGGGCACAGTTGATTATCCTCTGCGGTGGTTAGAGCATCAGAAATTCGGTTGTTGAAGAGACATTCATTGTATTGTGTGGGCAGGATACTGTCAGGTTGCCCAGGCCTAGACAGGAGAACGATTAGGGTTCTCAACCAAAGCCTTGGTTCAAAAACCTGACCGCAAGGCAGCGGGTTTGGCGTTGGGCTACAAGGAGTCCGTTTTAAGGAATAAGGAGCCACCCTCATTCCAACCCCCAACCTGGAGGACCAGGAGGTGAGTTTGTCTGGCCTCTAACCATTGACCAATCTGGTATGAGTGACTCTGAAGGTGCAAAAGCACCACCCAGCATAGCTCAATGGATCGCTGAGGCACACAAACCATCGCACCACGGTAAGGTCCAGCCTCATTGCGATGGTGTAACAATAATGCACTGCGAAATCCTATTTGTATAGCATCCTGTTATTTTGTTAAACTGGGCAGCTGATCCAAACTAATACCGTGGATACTTTATCCTCAAGCGGACGCAGCTCAGTAGTGTAGGATAGGGTAAGGCTACTCCACTTGTCCAGTTGCACACTGCAGTAAAAAATGGCAAAAACGACAAACAGATAAATATATAGCCGAAAATCCCTCATTGAGGAGTGCGGGAATAAATAAGTCAAAGTCACATTACACAAAGTTAACTTTGGCCAACAAAGGTCTGCTTGCCGACTCCAAGTAAAATGTTCGGTTGAGAGCGATGGCAAGTAAAGCATTCATTTTCACACTTGTGATAGCAAAATAGCTACAACCTGACCGCAGCATGTTATGAACATGTTATAAACTCAGGAAGAACCTGCTGTTTGTGAAAAGGCTGGAATAATTGGAAGTCACACGCAACCTGTCGGCCACTGGATGTTAGCACCGATACAACTGGTAATCCTTTGTGGTGTACTCGATGGTAATAGGGATCAGAATAGACCAGTCATAAACATACAGCATTGGTACGCAGTATGATCCTCGAAAGTCCAAGGGCAACAAAACCGGGCGTAACTACTTTATGGTGCTTTTCCTTATTGGTAGCTCACATTTGTAGCCCGAAATCTAACTACGATGATTCGAATAAAAGCATACCTAAAATCGTTTATTCACTGTTAATTACCAGAAAATTGGTTCCTGAGACGCAGCAGACTATAACGGTGGTCCACTACACCAGATGTAACTGGCAGAACACATCGTGCAGCAACTACCGCGTATATAGACAAAATCAGATCAAATATATAAGTTATTAGTAGGTTTGTACGGCGCCCATCTAGGCATGATCATAAGAATGCAAAGTTGATGATTTTTCCGAGAAAATGCAAGAATACTTGTTAAAAGTTTGCATTTGTTGTATAGTATCCGTAAAGCATGTTTGAAATAAAAATAACATTCAACACAACTGCGAAAGCGGTCAATATAATAAGAGGCATGCGTGTCGAAATGCCCCATGCTGAGGCTGAAGTTGCCTTCTTGATGCTTAATTCACCGCAGTTGGGCTAAACCAATTACACTTAAACAAGTCTTTTAAGCTGGATAAATTTCATTCCACTTTATTTGGTTTGTTCTGCCTACCTGAATAATGTTCTATTAACTGGCCACGTTGCTTACGCTAATTGCGCTTATCTTCGGTAATTTTGTTGCGTTTGTAGCATTTTAAGTAACTTGTGGACATTTCTTACTTATCGTGGATTCGTTGCTAACCAACTTACTTCATATGGTAATTTAGCGAAGAGTTATGCCACCGTATCTGTATGCATTATTGGATTTATTTTATTTCAGCTTGTCGTTTAAAGTGAATGGCTGTTGCTTGATATCCCCGGTGTGGCTGCGCTTGATGTGCATGTTGACAAGGTGCCTACCTGTCTATTACCCACTACCTCGTCCATACTGGCTCCAGGAGACAGTTGGTCGTTGCTGGAGGGGACGGGGTGCACGGTCCTTGTGGCCGTGCTAGGCTCAAAGAGCGGTTCCATGCACTCAGTGTGGAGCGGACTACGGTCCAGCCACCGCCTTGTGTGCGCTTGATTCCCCAAATACAGCGTGCTTGTGTTTGCCTGTGAAGGAGTGTGGGCCGGCTCCGTTGATGAAACGTGGTTCCCATCCACATGCCTCCCGGTCTTATTCCTTCGGGTTTACACTGGATATGGGGTGTGTGGTTGGAGCTGTGGGTGGTGCAGCGCAAGCCATCCATGGTCCCTCTGTAGGCGCAGGCGTCCTGTGGCTGGCCACAGTGACAGGCAAATCCGAAACCGGATGCCTGAAACCATACGTGTTGAACCGAAGGAAAGTGGGCACGCATGAGTTGCTATGGTTTGCTGCGCTAATGAAGCCTGGATACAAACCTGAAGCAGGTGGATTGGTTTATCAAGTAAATTCATTGTAAATCTGCTTTTCGTATAAGTTCTTGCCACAGGATATCGATACCTTGTGATCACTAATCACGGTCGAGCAGTTAATTATCCTGTCCTCGGACCGTTTTCTGCTTGGTTCTGCGGAATGTGTAGTAAGGTACATTGTCCATGGAAATAGCATTTCGGGCAGAGTATGGCGTATCAAGCTGTGTAGAATACCGAAATCGGTACTTCTACGTCTGTGAAATGTTTTTTTTCGGGCAGGTTTTTAGAATGCTTGATGAGTAACATAAGTTTCGCTTCTACGGGAGTGAATGCTATCGTCAGATTTAAAGAGACAATGCGGATATGGTTGGTTTCTGTACTTGTGATCACTGTAGTGACTGGTGTACACGACGGTAGAATCGTGTGAGGAATTTGTTTTCTGATCTTTCTGAATATGGAATGGGTCATCTTTAATGAATGAGGGGGATTTGTTCAACTGCAGATTTATGGGTGAGCATCCTCGGTCCTTTTCAGTTGTTTCGATAGTGCACGAGCTGCGGTTAAAACGAATTCATGTCGAACTGTCACACCAGACTAGTGTCAAGAAGGTGTTGAGTCCAGATGAGTGCCGATATGATTAACAGCATTGTAATTTTCTTAATTGTATTTGTATACAGGTGAACAAGGTCGAAATGGGCTTCGCAAGTAAGTCCTTGTTAGATGAATTCGTCCCATCTTAGGCGAAAAGAAGGTGCGTCAAAACAATGCGGGATCACCAGAAGGATTCTGACGGATGTTTCTAACCTCGGAGAAAAGAGAAACGGAGGGACAAGCAGGGAGAAGACAACAAAAGACAGAAATTTAACGTAGCAATATTTACGTCACCGAAGTAACCAAGGGAAGCGCAATGTGGATTTTCGAAGGAGTGACGTAATAACCATAATCGTGTTTAACGAAATCGGAGTAAAAATTTGTGCGAAGGTGCAATAAGGCAGGTGATACAGTGCTGCTCACGTACGATTTCCAGATGGGAACAGTCAGAGCTGGTATTAGTGTCGCTTAATTCGTGACTAGTTAAAATATCAAAAGGCTAGGTAAAAATATGATAGGTGTTGTACACGTAGTCGGTATATAAAAGAGACTTATATGATGTGCTTGTAGGCTGGTTATGAGTTCTATTCAGATTGCGTTGCGTCTGAATGTGTCGAGGTTTGAGCAGGTGGAAGCGCACACGTCCGTGGCCCGCTCGTTCCCGTGCTGTGTTTTGCGTCTCGATGCCACACTTATATAAGTGGATGCGAGCTAAAGTGCGTTCCCAATTGCCACGTGCTTCGACGCCGGCGTACAGAGGTCAAACTGTTGTTTTTACTTGGAGTGCATATCACTTGCTGTATATCACGTGGTGTGTGGTTAAGGTTTGCCATACAGGTTAGTTGAAAAGTGCAGTTCTCCCAACATGTGTGTTGAGTGGCAAATAGACCTAACAATAACCTGATTATGAAAGTAAGCGCCTTATTTGGAGTGGATACAATAGTGATTGCTGCATGTGGCTGTTTTCAGTGGGCGATATATCGGTCAGATCAATGCACACATCATCTATACCATTTCCCGGCCAAGTTGTCCTCTTGGGCAACAGAAATAATTTAAGGGGCATTCAGCACGGGTCTACTCAATTAATTTGTTCCGTGCGTACGCCAATCAATTGTGCAGATGTGTAGGTGTGCGTGTATAGCCCGTCGCCTTCAGCCAATTGGACCTCAGACGCACTAAGTCACACGGGTGCAGGTGGGACGCTTCATCTCCTACGCACGGAACAAATTAATTGAGCAGACTTATGTTGAATGCCCCTCAGCTTATTTTTGTTGCTCA